GCCTGCAGGACGCTGGCTGGCCCGGCCAGGCGGTTGTCCTCAGGTCCAGGGCACATGGTGCAGAGGCTGCCTCAGTTTCCCCAAGGAGGGCATGAGGCGCCTGCCTTGGTGACGAGCGTCCGCACTGAGCATGTGCAGGGCCCGCCAGGTGGGCAGCAGCCCGCTCTGTCCTCCCTCCGGCCTCCTGGGTGAGCCCAGCTGGGGCCCACACGGCATCCATGGCCGTCACACTGTTGCCTGACTGACCCCGAGTTTGCAGGGGGTGTCCCCGGCCGGGCAGGCCGTGCGTGCCGCCCTAAGCCTTTGTCCTGCATGCTCCATCCCCAGAACCGGGGCAAGGGGGGCGCCGTGAGCAAGCTGATGGAGAGCATGGCGGCCGAGGAGGACTTTGAGCCCAACCAGGACTCGAGCTTCTCCGAGGACGAGCACCTGCCGCGTGGCGGGGCCGTGGAGCGGCCGCTGACTCCGGGTGAGTACCCCCATGCTGTGTGGGTTCAGGTCTGCAGTACGGGGCGCAGGAGGTTCCTGGGGGAAGTGACATGGCCTGCGAGGGGCAGGGACAGCAGCACAGGGGAGTGGGCGGGAGTGGCAGTGAGCGCACGTGCAAAGCCCTGCGCAGTGGCCAGTGTGGCCTGGGCTGGGGCAGGGGGAGTGGGCGGGGCCTGGGCTGGGCAGGGGGAGTAGTATGAAGTTATCTCTTTAGAAAATGGTCTCCGACTTCAGGTTGCTCAGTGGTTACCTAAGACAGAACCAACCCAGCCACTTAGGTGTTGTTAAGCTAGCTGAGGTGAACGTGAGAAAAAAGGGTTTGGCTTGAGAACAGGTTATGGAAATGGGAATGGGCTGGGGCAGCGGGAGTGGGCAGGGCCCTGAGCAGAGGCCGTTCCCTGACTCTCTTGAGGCGTTTGGGCTTCTCCCAAAGGAAAAGGATGCTGCAAGGGTCACCCATGGTGGGGGGGGGTGGCCAGTGTGGTCAGGGGTTCTGAGTAGCTCTGCTGCATAGAGAACGAACTGCAGGGGTGCTGGGGGCAGGAAGTCAGTAGTTGGGGGGCTGTTGCCAGGATCCAGCGAGGGCTGGAGGGGCTGCTGAGGGCAGCGGGGGTCGAGGTGGGGGTGAACACATCAGGAGGAGAAGTAGATGGGTTGTGTGGTGGATTGAGCAGATGTAGAGAAGCAAAGGGGTGCAGACTGGGGTTGGCAGGAGGAGGGGGCCAAGGGCAGACCACGTGTGGGCTTTTCTGATGGGTTGGGAGTGCCTGGAGGACAGCCCAAGGAAGGGACACTGGTAGGCACTTGGCCCCAGGGGTATAGATCTGGGGGGAGACTAAGGATAGGAATGGGGTGGGCGCTGTGTGGAGCAAGAAGAGGGCCCGGGCCAGCCCCGAAGCACTTTGTTACCTCATGGGGTGTATCAGTCAGTTGCTGCTGCGTAACGTGTATCAGTCTCCATGGTGCGTGCAGAGCTGAGCTGGGCTGGGTTTGCTGACATGTTTACGGGATGGCTGGGGTCTGCTGAGGCCTCTCAAGGCCTCTGGTGGGCAGTTTGGCTGTGGGGGCTGTTTTCCACCAGAATGAACAGCATCCTGGGACGGCACGAACGGGAGGCGTGGCTGACAGGCGGCGGGGGTGCCGACGCCCCCAAGCCTCACACCCAGCCTCAGAGGGTGGTGTTGGGTGGGGAGGGGCAGCATGTGGAGGCTGTCACCTGGTTCACACCCACCTGGGGCCTTTCCAGAAGTGGGCCCTCTGTGCTCGCTGGTGCACGCGTGCACGTCCCTGCACGGCCCTGTCTGGGCACGCGTCCGTGACACACTTCCCCGCAGGGTCCCGCAGGCACCTGTTCCCAAGGGCACTGGGCCGGCCTGGGGGAGGGGCCCAGGAGGGAGGGAGGGTCTGCAGCCGCCTCACCGCCCCCTCCCGCAGCCCCGCGCTCCTGCATCATCGACAAGGATGAGCTGAAAGACGGCCTGCGCGTGCTCATCCCCATGGACGACAAGCTGCTGTACGCCGGGCACGTGCAGACCGTGCACTCGCCAGACATGTGAGTGGGGCCGGAGCCAGGGTGGGGGGGGCTAGGCCCGAGCCTGAAGGCCCTCACCGTCCTGCGTCCTGGTGCCTCGCTGGGCCTCTGTGGGCGGGTGGCTTCCCCTCCCCGAGCAGCTCCCCCATAGAAGTGGGCGAATGGGATGGTGCCTCTCAGAGCGGGTAGGGCGTTCTGGGGCTCCACAGGGAGGGGCAGGGGAGCCCGCTGGCCGGCTTGGACCTGCAGCCCCTAGTTGTACAGATGAGGAAACTGAGGCCCAGAGGGGTGGGGAGAGCCTTGGCCTCAAGTTCACACAGCAAGTCAGCCCTGCTTCTGCTCGGTGTCCAGTCTCCGTGGCCTGGGAGGCGGCACTGGTGCAACAGGGAGGGAGGGTCCCTGGGGGATCCCGCCCCTGCCAGCCCACCCCACTCTTGCCCTGGTCTTGCAGATACCGAGTGGTGGTGGAGGGGGAACGCGGGAACCGGCCCCACATCTACTGCCTGGAACAGCTGCTGCAGGAGGCGGTGAGGGGCCTGGGGAGAGTCGGGGAGGAGGAGGGAGAGGAAGGGCTGGTCCCAGTCACTGCCTGGTGCTCAGTCCTTGGCCTTTCCAGATCATCGACGTGCGGCCGGCCTCCACACGCTTCTTGCCGCAGGGGACCAGGATCGCGGCGTACTGGAGCCAGCAGTACCGCTGCCTCTACCCGGGCACTGTGGTCCGAGGTGGGTGCCTGCCCTTCCTGCACCCTCCTCACTTCTCAGTGTGTCCGCGTGGGTCCCTCTGGTCCCTGACACCCAGCTCTAAGCCTTTCACTGGCTCGTGTGTCGGTGAGAGCTCACAGGGCCCGTCCCCACAACCGGCGGGACTTGGGCTCGGTGGGTGGGCAGCGCTCTCCTCCGCTCGCGTCACCCCGGCTCCGTGGGGACTGTACGTCACCATCTAAATCCTGTCGTCAGAGAACGCGTTGCTTTTCCTATAGAAGCTCCACCAACTGGCTGGGGCCCCTGTACGTGAGCGGTGGTCCTGGGTCCTGTGCCTGTCCCTGAAGCAATGAGTGAGGCTGGCTTCCTAATTTTGTTTGATTGTGATTCGTTAGTCCTCACCGCGGATATTCTTCCCATTGACTTTTAGAGAGAGTGGAAGGGAGGGGGAGAGACACATTGACTGGTTGCCTCCCGCACGCGCCCTGACCAGGGCTGGGGATCGAGCCCACAACCGAGGTACATGCCCTTGACCGGATTGGAACCCGGGACCCTTCAGTCTGAGGGCTGACGCTCCAATCACTGAGCCAGACTGGCTAGGATGGTCCTAGCTGCTGGGACCAGAGGGAGAGGGGACGGTGGCTGGGCCAGGAAAGCAGGGCTGTTGTTACCAGGATCAGAGGGATTGGAAACAGGCAGACAGAATAACAGGTCCCCCAGAAGGCACTGGCAAGGCTGGCAGAGATGCACAGGGTGCGCCCCTTAGCTACCAGAACCCACGTGTCCGGAGACGGGATATGGATGTTCGTTACGTCAAAGACAAACCCCAAAGACATGCCAGACGCAGTCCGCCGCGGCCGCTGCCAGCCTATGTGCCTGGAAGGTGGACTGGGCGCAGGCGGGCGGTCCTCACTGTGGTCAGCGGCATCCTAACCAGGCCTCCGGGGTGGCTCTGCCCTGCCCCGCGTGCCAGCTGCTCCCCTCTGGCCTCG